ACCAACCAATTCTACCCGTTTTTGACGCTAACAAACGCTCCACATAAGCATTAACTCATCAGCTAATGTATGTTTAATTTATATTTTTTGTTAGATTTTTCCCTTTTTCTGAGTTAGTTCTCCACTGTTTTTGAGTGAATTTTTGTCTGCTCTGCTGAATTCTGCACTTCGGCTACGTTTTTCTGTCTTTTGCTGAATATTATTGCTTTTGACTCAATTTTCTGTACATGGTCTTCGGATTATTTTCTCTTGCGCCTTACCCTTCTTTTCCCTTTCGTTCTTCTTCCTTATTTCTTCTTAAGCAGAAGGAAATGATCATCCTTCTGCAGCTTCATCAGTTAAATTTATTGTTTTAATTAAACTAATTCAGTCCAGAACGAGTAATCTCCTCATCGGCATGTTTCATAGTGTGAAATTTTCGTCGTTTAATGATTTATATGTGATATATGTTTATTGTGATTTTTATATGCCAGTTTTTGCTGGATCCGGTGACTGTGATATCATTTGGGGTTCGTTGAGTTATTGCTTTGTTCACTTTCGCTCTCAGACTGAAACAACTTTTTGCAGATAAACGACATCGAATTATATTTTGCTTTCCATCTTTATGGTTGATTGCCATGATACGTTGTTTTATGGGCAGTTTCTGTCACTGAAATGTCTAAAGTAATCCCAATGTTTCCTGACTGGGAGTATCGGAGTTTAATCGTTTTACCAAAACTGCAGCACTTCCTCTCACAGATGCAAGATAAAGTGCTGCAACTCATCGGCGAAGAAACTGTACTCCCGAGTGTTATTCAGGCCTCGCTAGTATTAGTCACATTACCAATTAGTTGATTTGCACTTGAGCTTTGAAATTCTGTCTGTTTTTGGTTACTTCGAACTGTCATGATGTTTCTGATTCTGGTGGTTGAAGCCAGGAATGCCTGAGCTATGAGACTTTGTTAAAGTGAATCACATCAAAGAGGCAGTTTCAACTCATCGCCACTGCATTATTTGCAAAAAAATGCTATATAATGATTTCCAATGAACAGTTATGAGCCTTGTTCGTTGCACATTGCATTGACAAGTGCCAACTAATGCGTATCATTCTGGTAGTAGGAGTTTCGTGAATGAACTACACTGTCAGTATTCTTTTGTTTCAGGCAACTTCTGCCCCTTCATGGTGTTTTTTAGCTGTGACCGGTGTACCGAAGCGCTGAAGAAAAATCAAGTTGAAAAACATGGATTCAAATGCCGGTTGGTCCATATCATACAGTGCTTTATCGTACACCTACAATTTGACTTCATGTGTGTGCTGTATGTGTGTTGTGTGTGTATGTGCGTGTATGTGTGTGTATGTGTGTATGTGTGCGTGTGTGTATGTATGTGCGTATGTGTGCGTGTGTGTGTGTGTGTGCGTGTGAGTATGCGCGTATGCGTGTGTGTATGTGTGTGTATGTGTGTGTGTGTATGTGTGTGTGTAGATTCATTTACGCTTACGTTTCACGTAATGGTGGAATTTTTTGTGGGAAATTTTGCATCTTCGGAGCCAGACAACATATCGACTGCCTTTTGCTCACAGCAAAATGTAAAACAGTGAAAATTCTTAACAGCAAATTCCGCTGGATGGAACTGCGCAAAACTCATGATTGCACCGGCTACTGTGATGCGCGCCGCTATTTATTTAACTTAATTCTGCAAGAAATAACGGGTCTCAAAAACTTTAAGCCTTCTAATCAAAATTGCAACTTTGGTCAGCATGGCACTCGTTTATATATCCTTCTTTTCTCTCTTTTTTTAGCATGATTTTGACGCTTTCGGTTCTCATGTTTCATTTCTTTAACATAATATCTCCTGATCAGTTGTTTTTCCCTTTATGGGTGTGTATTGCGCTTATTTAGCTGAGTTTTCACTCTTTTTAGCCTTTTTATCTTAGATACTGTATTTGGCAGAGAGTCAATTTCTATCATTATTTTTTCATGTGAATGATTTTGGCGTCTGCTGAACACAGAAGAGAGCTGTTGGTTCTCGCCTCTAAATGTTTCGGATTTTGTAGGGATGCGACGTATTCGTGTTTGGATTGCGGACAGAAATTTACCCTGCAAACATATAAAAGCCACATAAAGTGCTTATCCGAAAACAAAAAATACGGTGGGAGCAAATATGTCGAAAAAGAAAACAAAGTAATTTTTTATGTGAATGAAATGGCTTTCACACGCGTCTTTAAAAATTTGAATTCTACAAAGGATTTCATTACAGGGCGAGGTGAAGCAAAGCCGTTGGGTTGAACAGGTGGAACGAGCAATAGAGAATGTGCGGGAACCGAGCTTAAAAAAACTTCTTGAGCAAATCCTTGGCTATGCCAATATACCGAGAAAAGAAGCAAAATTTATCAATTTCCTGCAAAACTCAAGAAACATTAGGGATCGAGACATCTGTACCAGGGTATTCATTTCGATTTTTTATTGCTTTTCTTAAATCTGTAATTTTGTAAGCTGCATTATGTTCGGCTTCCGTTGTGAGTTGAAATTAAGTATGAGTAATCCAGGCATGGAATTGCATAGCAGAAGAAGCTAAAAAGATGCAAAATGGGACGACTATGGAACAAAGTAATAATCGTAGTGAAGCTAACAACCAATGCGACATGGAAGTTTCATCAAATGCGGAGGAAAAATTACGAAGCAATGCTCATAAAGAAGAGCAAAATTCAGAAGAAAAGGCTGAGGTGAGTTTCAGTTCCAGCCGAGTGGTATTTATCGTTTCTGGTCAAGTAAGATACTGACTTCCTTGCACACATTTACCGCGATAATTGCAGGCAGCAACAAGTAATGGTGTGAAGAAATTCAAATGGAAACGTGCCATTAAACGTAAATTGGAAGAAGCAAAAGACAATGAAATGAAGGTGAAACGATTGAGAAGCGAAGTGATCAAGTGCTTTTTGGAGACGAACGGAGACAGCAGCAATGACGTGGATTTGAAAGCGATTTTTAGTGATAAGCTTCAGAAACTTGGATTGCAAATTCACGACAAAAAAGTGCGCTTGAAATAATGAAATGTCTGTGAATTTAGCCGGTGTGTCTTCTATGATAAAACACTTGAAAAACTGTGTTTTCTTTTGTTCGTCCTTTCAAATCGCTTTTT